CTGGCTTTGTTCCCAACGTCAAAACAGTCAAGACTGGCTTCAGAGCTGGGTTACAAGGTCACAGAGGCCTGCTTCACTTCCTATTGTTCCTGGTCTCAAATGACCTATGAGCATGTGACTTCTGCAAGAAGAAGAAATGAGAAGCTTCAAGTTCAATTTGTTTTCTGTTTTTGGGATGGGAGGTTGGTGTGTGGCATAATGTGCATCTTTATGGCTGCGATCTGTCCCCACAGAATCCTTTGGATTAATAAATTCGAGGCACAGATCTTTAAGAATTCCAAAAAACAAAACCACGAGATAAGATGTGTGCCTACACCGGTTGAGTCAGCAAGACATCTGTTAAAGGTGTGGACTGTTGTGTAGCCTATGTTTGGGAAGCAAAGGATTTCAACTGGGTAATCATTGCCTCAGTAGTTCGGTCAAACTCTTCTTATTATGATGAGATGAGATAAACAGCAAGGGATAGCATATTTAATACTTTAGCGTATGGTTTTAACTCACCTTACAGAGGAAAACACAGCCATGGTTTTATGGTCAATTCTGCCAAAAAGCCTCACTTTTGAGGAATGAACTCGGGAGGCATCTGAAAGGTTGAAAAATTGGGTGGAGGGAGGAGGAAACCCTCCTGATTGAGATGAATGGTTTCAGTGTATGGATTGTGTTCACTTTTTTTTTGTCAACTTTATAGCCTATTGGCACTGTTATCAGACAGAACTCTTTTGTTATAACTAAAGTCACCCTACATAACCAATATCTATTCCTCTTTCTGATTGAAACTGTCACATGCTTTTGTCTGTCTGCTTCATAATATTCTTAGTGGCTCACTAAAAAAGAGAATAATACCTGTACATAATTGCTTCATAGTTAAACATTATGCTCTTATGTGAACTGAAAATGTCATTTTTAAGTTGATATTTTGTTTTTTAAAGACATTCTAGGGTTTATGCATTTAAATACGATATTTGTTATAGTTTTATTCACTATTTTAATTTCAGGTAGGTGAACTGAGTGTGTATTTGTGTATGTATATAAAGCCGAAGCTGATAAAAAAATCGGCACCATGATTTCAGCTGAAGAATGACGATTTTTATCTATTGCCATATTTGCAAAGAATTTTAAACGTCTCATAAACTTTCACTCGCAGAAGTGAAAACAAAGCAAATCCCTCTTCTTCATTAAAGCTATAACTCAAGGTTGTTAAAATATCTTTCTCTTACCCACAACAATGTGTGGAGATAAGCACAGGAGTTAATTAATGTGGGTAAAAACCTTAAACATCCAGCTGAAGAAAAGTTGAAGTGTATTTTTGGTGAAGGTACAAGTCAATGAACTTACTATCCAAGATGAAATAGTACTTCTTTTGGTTGTCCTGCTCTTCGAATGCTCTTAATAATAACTCACTCAAAGGAAAATATTCACCATTCATTTTGCCAATTTAAAAGCTTTGAAGTGCACAGTAGGACACAGGCTCTTTGTGCACTCTGAAATTTCTAAAATGATTAACAATCTAAATCTCATCTGCTGATGACAAAATATTATTTAGCTTTTATTATATAGTGTCTTTGGTTCATCTACCATGAATGTTGGTTTAAAACGGGAATGTTAATGCAGGGAAGTGAGCTCAGTGGCTCTTTATCCTTGGATGTTTGTCTTTACTGAAACATTTTTACTACCTTCTCATGGTGCAGGAAACAACAAAAGCAACACAACAATATTTTTTTATAAAAGGAAAACATGTAAAACATATTTCCTTTGGCCTTGTTTTTACTACTGTTTTTTTTTTACAATGCTCTCAAGTCTCAGGCCAATGGCTGAATGCCAAACTGTAATATTTCCTCTGCTGGTTGTTCATGAAGGCATTCAGGAAAACAATTGAGGACAATAAGTTCCTTCCTCTTCCGGGAGGCATGTGAACCACCCAGTAGGATCGGAATGAGTCATATAAATGAACTGTGAATTTCCATTCACTTGCAAATGGACCTTCTCAGTGGCAGCTGCAGCCATTTGAGAAAAAAAAAAGAGAAAAGAGAAAAACAACATTTGAACGCCGGATGCTTCACAACCAGCGGCTATAATGTACTGGTTTTTCCAGAATCAATTCTGACCATATCAAAAAACTCAGTCATAGTCTGTTTTAGTCAATCATAACAAATGCATACCAATTATAGTGTCATATGTTTGGATGGAATGTTGGCCTTTTTATTTATGATGAAACAAAACAAAGCCTTAAACAGAGGGAAAAATATAATTTGCACTGACAGATATAAAGTAAATGGATTCTGGTTTAAACACTTTCACATGGGTTAAAAATGTTCTGTGGTTTTTTTTTCCAAAAAAAAGAAAGCAAATGTTACAAACAGTAAGAAGGGGCGCTTATCTGCCATAGTATCTTGAGTCAGCAAACTATTAAAATATTTTCTGAACCTTAAGCTTGATTAATGTTGTGCATAACTGAGCAGCTTATTTTATAAGTACAAAAAGCTTTACTTACAGTGTTCACTTATAAAATAATTTCTACCAGGGAAACTTTGCATATTTTAGAGATTGTGTAAATATTGTGCTAATATTGTATTTATGCAAAATAGCATTAATTTCTCTTAACGATGAGTATACATTAGGTAAGTTATTGCCTATTACTGTGCAGTTAATTTATTTTCATCATGTATTGTCTTTGCAATTGCAGTTGAATAGTAAGAAATTAGTATACAGTAAATGCAACAAATGATTCGGATGTTTGATATACTGTAGTTAATTAAGAACTGCTCAATGTAATCTGTGATTGATCATATTAATTAGGTTAAATAATCTTTGTTATGTCAAGATGGGATCTTTATCCACTAGTGTCTAAATATTGCAAAGAAGATGGAAACGAAAGGCCATATTAATCAGGCTACTGAACCCTTCAGAGCACCAGTAGGACTATTGACTCCTGTGGATGGTGAGGTGCACAGATATGGCCAACTCATATCCACAACAGACCCAGAAAGGTTGTCAGAAACCTAGTATGGAAACTGACTCTGAAAAAAGTTTGTTTTGACAAGACATATATTTAATGGACTTGGTAACTAAGTGTTTCTACCTCTGTTTGCAATACAAATGTGCTGTTTATTGAAAGAAAGAAACTGTCAGTACATGAGACAGGGAATGGAACCGGCTGTGTGGCAGTTTGGTCCAATCCTAAGAAATGTGACATAGAGACAAAGTGTATTAGGGGCTGTTTGGTGTAACTCACTTAACTGAGTGAGTGGCAGCCTAACTGTAACGGACGCCGGGGTGGTCTCCCATGGAGGATGATGTTTAGACCCTATGTAAGGCGGTACAAATCTGGAAAAAGGACAATAGACAGGGTTCAGGGGAGACACACTGGGTTTATTGGTGCTCACAGTGAAGTCGAGAAGTTTGTGCAGAAGTGCGGGGAATATCCAAAGGTAAACATATACAAGGAGGCTTAAGGGGGAGTCAGGAAGCAGTCCATAAGTCCATTGCCGGGAGATCCATCAGGAGACGCAGACAAACAGGAACACAGGACGAGACGAGAATCCAGGAAATATGGGGCTCCCTTCCAAACTCAGTGGGTTGGGGGGCTTAAACAGGTCTATGCCCTCAGGCTTCCTCCCAAAGCCATCAGGCTACCATGTTCCAAAGCTAAGCCCCAAAGGCAGGAAGGAGTAAACTTAAATAGGGAAGATAAAACAAGGCACGCCAGGATATAATGCAGGTAATAACTAAAATGACTAATATGAGGAGGTTGGAGTAACCTCTGAAGGAGAGGATGGTAACATTTACACTAACCTCAAGGATGGAACTGACTAAAACCCTCATTTTTGTAAGGAATGAGCTGAGGAGCAGCTGCAATGGTATAGCTAGGGGGCTGGGAGGTTTTTAAGATGCACAAGGGGAAGTTCAGGAAAATATATTTAAGTAAGAGAGATGAAATAGGTGAGATTCGGATCTAACCTCCTCCATTTTTTCAGTTAAAAACTTTATACTGCACCATCAATGGCTTTAGAAAGTATTCAGATATTGTGGATATTTTCACAATTGGTTATGTTTCATACTCAAAATGGATTCATTTTCGTGGGATTTTCTGTCACTGATCTACACCAATTACTTTATAATGTTAAAGTGAAAGACAAGCTCTGGATTTGTTTACATATATTTTATAAGAAAACACTCAACTGTCTTGATTTGCCAAGAATTCACTCCTTTGCTATGACAGTCAAAATTGAGCCTTGGTGCATCTAATGTCTATGTGAGATCACTGAAAAGCATGTAGCCATTAGTGGTCAGTTCAGTTGGTTAATATGATTTAAGAAGAAATACATCTGTATATTTTAGGTTCCCCTGTTGACAATGCATGTCAGAACAGAAACTCCAAGGAACAGTTCTGTGATTATACTTTGAAGCATAGATCTGCGGATGGATATAAAAATATATCTGGGATATTGAAATTAGATTTAGAATTTAATTCATACTGGTGCTTAAGCTTTTTGTTGTTCTCTTTTGATAAAAAATGGTATACCACATTATTGGAAATATTTATCCAATTCAGACAGCTAGACTATAATGTGAAATATAGAAAAAGTAAAAAATGACTCCTAATCTTGTTTTTTTTGTTTGTTAGCTAGATCCTAATCTTGCATAGATTATCATAGCAGTTTATTTTTATTAATCCATTTGGTTTGAACAGGTAAAACCCTTAAATTAATGGTTGGCTTCTATTATCAGTCCTACATATACTGTACCTCATTGAATTGTTCTGGTCACTTCTACCAAGAAATGATGATATAGTGGACACTTTGCATGGGTTAAACCATTACAAATGACTAATATATGAGACTTTCATTAAGTATATAGTTGCATATTTACATAACATGTTTGGTATGAAAGAGTAATTCTTATCTCAAAAAAGCTCATAGGTGAGAAAATAGACAGCACAAGGAGAGAATAATGTTATCATATCAGGTTACCACAAGTTCTAATGCAAATAATAGTTTTGTGTTTAATGAAATTAAAATATTTTTAATTTAATTATTTTTTGGTACACATTTTAGATGTCAGAATTTGCTGAAGGGGTTGAGCATCTCAGTGCAGAAAGTGGGGTGCCAGGCCATGCAGTTGAGGATCAGCATGAGGTGATGGTCTTCCAGTAGTAGTTTCTGCATCCTGCTTTACGTTCTCTGGGAGGGATTACCTTCCCCATGTCGGCAGATCTCTCCAGCTCAAGTCGGGCATCACTGTTCTCATCCAACACAGACATTTCATTCTCTAGCGCTTCATTGTCAGACTGAGCAATCTGGGAGATAAGGTCCTCCAATGCATATTTAGAAGAGTCCTGCAACAAAGAATCAAGTGTTAACTAATACAAAATAAAATTGCATCGTTGCTGGTCCCAAAAAACCTTTCACCAGAAGTACTGCACAGGAATAAGTTGTAATGAGTATAAGATGTTTCAAAAAACCCTTCAGCATTTAAAATCCGTATATATTAAATATAGATGTACATTTCAGTGAAGCATTAAATATTTAAACTCACCTTGAGAAACATCAGATTTTATTTTCTCAGATACTTATTTCTCCAGCCACTATTCAATACTTATCAAGACTAAAAATTTAATCATGATCATCACATCCATCCCCAGCATTCTACTTTAAAGTACAATAAAGCTTTTTAATCTGCGGTGTAGGGCAAAAAGGTGATGCAGTGGTTAGCATTGCTACCTCACAGTGCTGATGCCCTGGGTTCAGTTCCTGGGCTGCTATTTGTTTGGAGTTTGTATGATCTCCCCTGGTATGCATGAGTTTCCTCCAGATGCTCTGGTTTCCTCCCGCAGTCCAAAGACATACTAGTGGGTTAATTGGCTTCTGGGAAAACTGACCCTTGGTATGAGTGTGCTTGTGTTTGTTTCTGTGTCTAACCTGTGATGGACTGGCGCCTTGCTTGAGGCACCAGCTCTCTTATGACCCTCTACTGGATAAAGTGGTTAGAAAATGGATAGATGGACGGTACTAGGGTGCATCTTTAACATGGCACCAACAAGGAAGACTGTATTTCACACTGCATTTTAACCCAATTTTTGTGGTTTTTATGAAACACAACAGACAATTATTTCTTTAACAAGAGTCAGGCAGAAAGACTGTCTTTTGTCAGATCATCATGCCAATTAAATCAGATGTGTGAAGCTCAGAGCGTATTGAATTTACTGCTTTTTCTATTAACTGTAAAATTAATTTAACTTACCCGTGTACTTAGGCTTGCAGCTTTTGCCTTCTGTAGAAACCTCCTGAATCGAAGGTCTGAGTTCGATACAGCGCTGACACAGCAAAAAGCAAAGACTAACCCAAAGAGAGCCAAGGTGCAATGAACGCGATAGGACAGCATCTTGCCTTGAAGGAAAGTAACGGTACAGGTGAAAACTGTGTCAGGAGTCCTTTCCTTGATTTACAAATGGGTCTGGTAAGCCTCTTTTTAAACTGTCTTCCACACGTCAGAACACTATTGCTTGCATGGTTTTGGCTTATAGTAACAAAATCTCCACCCATTGTATCCTAAGAGATGCAAGCGTTTATTAATTTTACAATTGTACATATTATAGAGGCTTCTGTTGTTTCTTTGTTTAGTCATTTACTCACAATTTATTAAGAGGTTTACAGCAATTAGATTGATTTGAAAGGAAGCTTGCAATAAAACAATTAGCTTTAATGGGTCTAACCCTTGCTGCTGTTCAAGAACAAACACAACCAAGCAATGCACTCCTAAACTGTATTTGCTAAACTAAAGAAGGACAATCTGGAATTTGACAGAATAGTGATGTACAATGTTAAACTTGCAATCTTTTAATACATGTGACTAAGTTTAAATAATCAGAAAATGATTTAAAAGACATTAAATAAATGTTCTTTTCTACTTCAGGCAAAGCAAAACAGAAAGAAATTAGAAAAGAAAAGCCAACTGTTTTTTTTCTGCAGTTTTAACAGTAAGTTATCATTTTCATCTCAAACATATCGATTTAGGTGCAGATTCCTGAAACTGCATCACCTGAATTAATCTATTATCAACTGAATTAATAATAATTGATTCTTCTTTTAGCAAACTGAATTATTGTATAATTAATTGTATATTGTTTTCAAAACAACAAATAACACCACTCTATTCCTCGCAAATATTTAATATAATATTATTACTATTGCATAGTAATAAAAATATGTAATGCAAATGAAAGATTTTTGATAGATCACAAAACAACTATTAATGTTGATTATGGATTATGGAAATTTAATATTTAAATTTCAGCATCTGACAATATATGCATGAGAACAGAATTGTTTTCTGTAGCTTTACTCCTTGTAAAGTTTTTGCCTTAAATTCCACTGGATGAATGATTTCAGATTTTTCCTGTTCTGGTTCTCTAAGACATCTGTGTCTTCTGGTTTTCTTTCTTTGTTACCATTCTGACACATTAATTGAAGTAAAGATGTGTTTAACATGACATTTTAATTACTTTCAACTGGAAAATATTTATAAAACCATCTATTAAAACAAAGTGTCAATTAAGAAACAGAGCTGGTATGAATAAAAAATCAGATGGCACAGGGGTCCTTCAAGTCACTGTCTAATTAAGCGGAGAAAACCAAATTTCACAGAGCATGTTTCGATTGACAAAGACACTTACCATAAGAAGGTGGAAGTACATGTGGACATGAAAGCTTACGTTTCGAGGAGTTCATGCACCTTCCTTCACTCTAGTAGTTCGATCACATAATAATAAATGCAATATCTGTCATGACTCTCTTCCTACCCCTAGAGGGCACTTCACCTTTCTGTCCTGTTTCTAGATCCCCTGTGCCTTTTCATGTGCTTCCAGTGTGTCCGGTGGTGGTATGCTATTTATTTCCGGGCTCTCCTGTCTTCCTCGCTCAGCATTGGGATTGGATGTCATGAGGCCCGCCTCACCAGGTCACCCCACATCCATGGACTGAGGGCATTGGTCTCTCTCCCCGACTCTGCCTGATACATTGAGCCCGGTGCAAACCCCCGCATTTGCTCCATTTCTGCCGCTTCGCAAAGGGTCTTCTCGTTCTGCCGGACTCTCCACGGCTAGCCTCCAGCTTCTGTGACAATATCAAGATAAAATATATTCATTTTTAGGACATACCTCAGCTAAGACAGTCCAAACCTCCATTGTCTTTACTAGGAATGAGCCAAGGAGCAGCCAAGGGCAAAGATGGTGTAGCAGGTGGGATGTGCGAAATATGCATAAAGGGATGTTTAGGAGATGAGATGTTCCTCCCAAATGTCTGTAAAAAAACTACATTTCAGTAGTTCTGTGAGATCGTAATACATGTGATATAGACACAGAATATAGTAAAGGTTATTTGGCCTAACTCACCTTGATGTGGAAATGGAAGCCTAACTGTAAGAATGAGTTGACTACTCTATATCTCCAAAAGATGCCCCCAAAATACAGATGCTGAATTCTTAATGAAAGAGTTTATTATGCACATCCACCAACCTAAAGTTTTGATGGTGGAGACTGGCAATACATGATGGATTGAGGAAGATTATATGAATATCATGGAATAGTGGCTAGAGGAATGATTGGTGCTGATGTCTGCTTCAGTTGGCACATGGCAGGGGTGATGAATGAATCAGTACTGATTAATCACTTGCTGGTTATTGTCAATAAACAGGGGGGTCACATGAGATGGTTGATTGAAATGGATGAAGGAAGTACAAAAAAGACACTCGCAAGGACAGATAACAGAATCAATATTAAAATAGCAAATGTTAACACCTTAACCTGCTTCTTTTAAGGTGGTTAATCATTTTATCATGAAAGCAGACAGAGAGGTCTGAGAAACAGGGAGGTAACTAAGGGTGAAAGGTGCAGATGGCCGCAATAGATTAGGAGCATTACAGGAAACAAAAGGAGGATAGACCAATTCAAGCTTGAAGAGTCCAATCAACAAGAATGGAATGATAGCCATTCTGTGGCAAGAAAAACATGGTTACATTTCAGTGGAAATAGGGAGGCATGTGTACGGTAAAGGTGACTCAATTGTTTTAATCCTTTGTGCAGAAATGCATTTACTGAAGAACTGTAAACTGGATAAAAGTATATAGATGGTGGAGGTCCTGATGTTAAAATGAGAAGGGGAACAATGTCGGAAGGCCGAACTTGGAATGGGATTGTTAAAAATTTGAAAAGTTTCCCAGAACCTTTTCTATGCGGACAAAAGTGAGGGTGCCATGCTCTAGAGAATAGAATCCCAAGAAAGTGTTGAAAAAATACAGAAAAACAAAATATACTGTACTTCCTGAATAGGGGGGAATCAGTATTGGTGCTTGGTTTGCATCTGGAACAAATACTCTGAAATTTCTGGAATTTCTCATTTCTGGAAATGAGAATGCAAGACAATAAGCAATCTGGTTTAAGTACCTGGGAATAAAGGCAGCATAAATTCTTCAAGGGTTACATAAGGAAATTCAGGTGAGGTATCTCAATGATTTCAATATGAAAATGGTAGTCAAAAAACACCCCTGTGGCATGATCCACAGTAAAGTAACCGAGAAGAGAGTAGCTCATGCTTTGTACAATAGTGAGAGCAAAAAAAGGTGGAGAGAAATTCAATAATGCGATCATGCTTGGCTTGAAGTAAGGAAACACAGAAACATCTAATGTCAAGAATGATCTCCACAAACTCCATAAATGATTGGCCCCTCTATGTCTTCTCTTAACCGAGAGAAACTCCTAAATTGGAGCGTAGACTTGGATAAGAATGCAAAGGAACTAAGGCAGTGTAGGGTGGAAGGGGAAATCAATAAGAAGAAAGTCATCCAAAAAACAAAGAACTGCTGTGAATTTATAGACATTTAGGAGAAATCAGCAAGATCCTTGGACAACGTTTGTTAGTTTCAAATGAGAATTACAAGTGATGTAAGCAACCCCCTAAATTGAGACAGATAGCGAGGTAAAATGTGCTTCACAAATACAGTACACCCCAAAAAGGTGCCAGAAATCCAAATCAATCAGCATAGCCTTAAAAGCATTAGAAATATCGGCTTTTGTGAGCAAAGGGTTTCAGCCTGTCGCTTTGATCATATGAATAGCATGATCAATAATTGTGTGTTGCAGGGAGAAATCAAAATTAAGGATTAAACCATTGAGAATAACAATAGAGTATGTAGTGATAAGTAATCAATTGTGGAGAAAAAACAAAACAATCTGTCTAAAGGAAAAAAAATGAAGGAGGAATCAGTGTATGAAGATAGCTTGAAATCAAGTGTGGAATATTTATCGGTGTGGAGAGGAAACTCAGTAGTCATTCATGGGGAAGCAAACATGAGCACTTCTACACAAAGGCTGTGCATGTGAAAAAAAGTGGAAAATGGAGTTTAATTTTTTGTAGGCTTGTCTACCTCCTGTGAAGATGATAGTGCAACCCCTAGTGTTTCTTCGACCTTGGTACGAGAATCTGAGAAGGGGAAGGGATGATGGGTAGGAGAGACTGAGAATACAGGAGCTCGAGACTGAGACAGTGAACACTCAGGTGATAGGATGTGAATGACAGCCACAGGTAATGCATGTGATTGTACACAAACTGGCAAACAAGTGGCAGTAGAACTTGGTATCAATTGCCACACGGTAGAAACAGTGGTAATAATGCTGCAGATGAGCAACTGTGTGAGCAAAGCTGCCTGGACGTTTGTAGAATGCAGAGATGCTGAAGTGAAAACAAAGGAATGCAGTGCATGAGCAATCCCCACATAAGGAAGAAAGTGGGCTGCTTTGACAGTCAAAAATGAGATCCATGTTACATCTCACATTCCTCTTCTAGAGGGTACTCCTACCTGTTTCTGTTATTGATTCAGTTCCATTATTTTCCGGTGTGTCTTGTTAGGCTTTATAAGCCTAATGTCTCCGCTGTTCCGGGTTCAGCACTGGAAGATGGGCGTCCGAAGGCCCGCCTATCACCAGGCCTGGAGTAGCCTAAGGGCATACAGTAGGCCTTCACCCCGGCGTCCTGACCTCTGAGCCCAGAGCTCTGAGTGCCTGGTCCCATTAAGGTTTTAGTTCTGTTTGTTGCTGGTCTTCTGGTTTATGCAATATGGACTGCCCTGACAATCCTTTGGGACCTCCCTGAACTTGGTTGTTTCTGCTTTTCCCTTGTGCACCAGATCACTGCAGTCACCGCCCCCTGTCTGTCAACTCGTCCTAAATCTGCTGTATCTTTCCCTGATGTCCTTCTCCAGACTCTTCCAGATTATTCTGCCACATATAGGGTCTTTAACAACACACTTCATGGGAGTCAGAACTGTTGCTGATGGTTCCAGAAGTCTGGAACACTCGAGAAGGCTTAAATACTGTGATTACAGGCAAAAACCTAGGAGGGGAGAGTCGAGGACCCACACCGCACCACTTGGA